AAGAACTCACCTGCATTAGTGTACCAGCTAGCATTGTTGTGAGAGACTGTGTTTGGCTTCAGTGAATTTTTGTTTTTTACTTTATTTTATTATAAAGATTCAGGTACAAGTCAGGATTAGGTACATAAGTAATGCATGCGCAGGTGAAGTTTGGGTCTCCAACTGGTCCTCACTTCCCCTGGTTTAGGATCAGGTACCCTTTGTGTTGTTGCATACTCCCCACCCCACCCCCACTTTCCTCCCTCCCCTGGCAGTGTCCCGTGACTGCCAATCTTTCCCTTGTCTTTTGTGATTAATGTTCAGGTGAGAACATGTGATATTCAGTTCTTTGTTTCTGTGGGCTTCAACAAAATTTTGTTTGGAGATTCTTTCAACACGTTTGCCCATTTTATGGTTGGGTGATTTATTTATTTATTTATTTTGAGTTGCAGCCTCACTCAGTCACCCAGACTGGAGTGCAGTGGCCGCTTCCGGCCACCGCAGCCTCGCCTGCTGGGCTCCAGCGATCCTTCCGCCTCAGCCTTCCAGTAGCCGGAATTACAGGCATGCGCTACCACGCCCGGCTGATTTTTTGATTTATTGTAGAGATGAGGTCTCGCTGCCCAGGCGGGTCTCGAACCTGCGGGCTCAGGCAATCCACTCACCTCAGCCTCCCAAAGGCGTGGGATTACAGGCTGAGCCACCGAGCCCGGCTTGGTTGGGTGATTTAGGAGCGCACCTGCCCACACCATGATGAGTGTTCAGTAGTTTATGACCAAAAACAGCACGCTCACGGCCACCGCTGCCTCAATCTGCTGGACTGAGGTGATCCTTCTGCCTCAGCCTTCCAAGAAGCTGGAACTAGAGAAGCACGCCACCACACCCAGTTAGTTTTTGTGATTTTTATTTATTTATTTAATTATTTTTTAATTTTTGGGGGGTTGGAGTCTCACTCTGTCGCCCAGACTGGAGTGCAGTGGCCGCTCCCGGCCACCGCAGCCTCGACCCAATGGGCTCTGGCGATCCTTCAGCCTCAGCCTTCCGAGTAACCAGAATTACAGGCACGCAATACCATGCCCAGCTGATTTTTTTTTTTTTGATTTATTGTAGACATGAGGGCTCGCCAAGTTGCCCAGGCGGGTCTCGAACCCACGGGCTCAGGCAATCCACTTACCTCAGCCTCCCAAAGGCGTGGGATTACAGGCTGAGCCACCAAGCCCGACTTGTGATTTATTGTAGAGATGAGGTCTCACCAAGTTGCCCAGGCTGGTCTCAAACCCCCAAACTCAGGCAATCCTCTCGCCTCGGCCTTCCAAAGTGCTAGGATTGCAGGCTGAGCCACTGCACCCAGCTTCTTTTTAAGCCAGGTCTCACTCTGTCAGCCAGGCAATTTGCAATCATGGCTCACTGCAGCATCAACCTCCTGTTCTCAGGTGATCCTTCCACGTCAATCTCCTAAGTAGTTGGGGCTACAGGCATGCACCACCATGCCCAGATATTTTTTTTAAGAGATAAGCTCTCACTATGTTGCCTAGGCTGAACTCTTGGGCTCAAGCAATCCTCTGGCCTCAGCCTCCCAAAGTGCTGGGATTACAGGTATGAGCCACCATGCCCTGCCTGTTACTTTATTTTTATTTATTTATTTTTTTTCTGAGTTGGAGTCCCACTCTATTGCCCAGGGTGGAGTGCAGTAGCATGCTCATGGCCACTGTGGCCTCGACATGCTGGGCTTGGGCGATCCTTCCTCCTTAGTTGTCCAAGTAGCTGGAACTACAAGTGCAGCTAATTATGTATTTATTTATTATGAAGACATGGTCTACGCCCAGGCTGGTCTTGAATCCCTGGGCTTAGGTAATCCTCTTGCTTCAGTCTCCCAAAATGCAGGAATTACAGGCATGAGCCACTGCACCTGTCTCAGAGTGTTTTTCAGTCTTGAGCTCCTCTGGGACCATTTCCGGGCACAATTAATCCCCTTTTTGTCTTCCTGACCACCCTTCCCCAGAACCCTCTAGGTCTGAAATCCTAACCAAACTTGTAATCCCTTATTTTCCCAACATCTCATGAGACCCTCAGGGGCAGGGCCCATAACAGAACAGGTACTCAATTAATGTTTATTGAATGAGCAAAAGAATAAATAGTTGATTTCGGAAAACTTGGATATAGTCTTCCTTAGCTGTATGGCAAGCAAATACTTTTCTAAATGTTTGTTACTCCTGACTTTATTTTCATCATAAAGACAATAAAAAGGGTATTTTCTCCATATATATAATTTATATATATATATAATTTTTTTTGAGTCAGTGGTCTCACTCTTGCCCAGGCTGGAGTGAAGAGCACAATCATGGCTCACCTCAGCCTGGAACTCCTGGACTCAGGTGATCCTTCTGCTTCAGCACCCTGAGTAGCTAGGATTACAGTTGCATGCCATCACACTTGGCTATTTTTTTTTTTTTTTTTTTTTTGTAGAGACTAGGTCTTGCTATGCTACCCAGGCTGGTCTGGAACTCCTGGGCTCAGGCAATCTTCCTGCCTCAGCCTCCCAAAGTATTGGGATTACAGGTACGAGCCATTGTGCCCAGTCTTGCACTAATGTTAATTTCCTTATTTTGATAATTATACTATTGTTCTATAAAATGTTTAAGGGGATATGGATAAAAGATATATAAGAACTCTCTGTACTATTCTGCAAAGTTTCTTTAAGTCTAAAGTTATTAGCCAGGCTTGGTGGCTCAGCCTGTAATCCTGTGCCTTGGGAGGCTGAGGTGAGTGGATTGCCTGAGCCCGCGGGTTTGAGACCCGCCTGGGCAACTTGGCAAGACCTCATCTCTACAATAAATCAAAAACTAGCCGGGCATGGTAGCGCGCGCCTGTAGTTCCAGCTGCTTGGAAGGCTGAGATGGAAGGATCGCCAGAGCCCAGCAGGTCGAGGCTGTAGTGGCCGGGAGCAGCCACTGCATGCCAGTCTGGGTGACAGAGTGAGATCCAACTCAAAAGAATTAAAATTTAAATTTAAAAAAGTCTAAAGTTATTTATTTTTCTTTCTTTTTTTCACTCAGAGTCTCACTCTGTCACCCAGTCTGGAGTGCAGTGGCATGCCCACAGTCACCACAGCCTCAACCTGCTGGACTCAGGCGATCCTTCTGCCTCAGCCTTCCAAGTAGCTGGAAACACAGGCACGTGCCACCACACCCAACTAATTTTTTGATCTATTGTAGAGATGAAGTCTTGCCATGTTGCCCAGGCTGGTCTCAAACCCCTGGGTTAAGATAATCCTCTCGCCTCGGCTTCCCAAACTGCTGGGATTACAAGTGTGAACCGCCGCACCTGGCCTCCTTTTTTTTTTCCGAATCAGAGTCTCACTCTGTTGTCCAAGTTGGAGTGCAGTGGCATGATCATGGCTCACCACAGCCTCAACCTGCTGGGTCAGGTGATCCTTCCACCTCAGCCTTCCAAGCAGCTGGAACTACAGGCGCGCGCTACCACGCCCGGCTAGCTTTTTGATTTATTGTAGAGACAAACTCTTGTCAAGTTGTCCAGGCTGATCTTGAACCCCTGGGCTCGGGCCATCCTTTCTCCTCAGCCTCCCAAAGTGCTGAGATTACAGGTGTGAGTCACCACACCCAGCTAAAATTACTTCTAAATAAATTTCAAAGAATTGTGCTATACATTGAAAACTGCAGGCTGGGCATGGTGGCTCAGCCTGGAATCCCAGCACTTTGGGAGGTCGAGGCAAGAGGATTGACTGAGCCTGGGGGTTCGAGACCAGCCTGGGCAACTTGGTGAGACCTCGTCTCTACAATAAATCACAATAACTAGCCGGGCATGGTGGCATGCGTCTATAGTTCCATCTACTTGGAAAGCTGAGGCGGAAGGATTGCCTGAGCCCAGCAGGTCGAGAGGTCGAGGCTGCAGTGGCCGTGAACATGCCTCTGTACTCCAGCCTGGGTGACAAAGAGTGAGACTCCAACTCAAAAAAAAGAAAAGAAAGAAAAGAAAACCCCAGTGGCTTTACCCATGAGATTCCAGGGCCCATTCCAGGAGACCCAGGGCTTTTAAGCCTGGAAAAAAATCCATGAAAACTGATTGAATAACAGGCTGTCTGTTTCTAAAACTATTCTTCAAACCACCCTAACCAGTCTACTTTCCACGTTGTGACTATGTCCTCATTTCATTTCATTATATGTATGGTTTTGCATTTATAGTCATATTCCTTCCATCCAAGATGTTTGTTATAATTAATTTGCCCATTCCTTTCTGCTGATCATTTATGTGATCTTCAAGCTTTTGCCCCAATCAACAATACAATGATGAATGTCTTATAAAAATCGTTTCACACATTTTTGATGATTTCCTTGGGTGAATTTGTAGCAGAATTACAGTATTCTTTCTTGTTGGCTCTCACAATATGTTTGATGTTGCTAACATAAATATATTCATTTAAATGTCACTCTTCCTCCACTGGACTATGAACCTCTAGAGAGGAGGAGGTTTATTTTACTCATATCTGAATCCAGTGCCTTGTCAAGTATTACGATCTGGAGTCAGTAGGCACTATTTCACATCTATTATTTATTATTGTACACTACTGGTGCTCACTGATTTTTTTTTTTTTTAATTTTAGAGACAGTGTTTCCCTCTGTCGCCAAGGCTGGAGTGCAGTGGCAAAATCCTAGCTCACTGCAGCCTAGAACTCCTGGGACTCAAGAGATTGACCCGACTGCCGAGTAGCTGGGACCACCACGCCCGGCCTGATTTTTTTTTCCTTGTGATTTATTTTATCAACACTTCCCACATCAATAGGGCACACAAGAGTCGCTCAATAAATACTCGTCAAACGCCAACACGAAGGAATTCAGACCTAGCAAGAAGAAATTCACTTTTCCCCACTCCTACCCCCTTGAGGAACTACATTTCCCTGTATGCTTGGCGCGACGCGCTGAGATGAAGTCTCACGGTCCTTTCTCCGCCCTCGCCAGACGATGCCGCAGTGTTTGATGGGAAGGCAGTTCCCGCGTTCCTCCGCCGGCCCCTAGCGAACTTGAACCCAAACTAAACTTCCCAGCAAGCAGCGCGCCGGCCTGGGAAAAGGGGCAAGATGGCGGACGCCGAAGACGGTGCTTTGCAACCGGCGGCAGCTTCTACTGCTCCGATTTCGTTTGGCTTCACTCGCACGTCCGCCCGGAGGCGGCTGGCGGACCCCGGAGACGACGCAGGGCCATCCCCGGAGGAGAAGGATTTCTTGAAAACCGTGGAAGGGAAGGAGCTGCAGAGGTGAAGCGCCGAGTCTTTCACTCGGAAATCGGTGCAATAGGCGCTACCGGGAGGGAGGAATCTGAGTTGTCTTGTGACAGTGGATTGAGAAGCCCGAAGCACAGCCTGAGGAAATTCGTAGAGGCAAGAAGGCGGGAGTTTGTAAGAGGGGTGGCGAAATTGATCCTAATGGCCGTGGGGATTGAGAAGAGAGGATGTATTGCTGAGAGGGAGTGTCTTTAGGACTTGGAAACTGAGATGTGTTCGTTCAGAAAGAGAGAAAGAAGGGGAGAATGACAGAACTCCTAGTGTCTCAACTGAAGCGGTGATTTGGGGAATGGTTTGGAGCGGCAGATTCAGGTTGATGGTGGCCATCATCAGCTTAATTAGGAGAGGAGAATCTGAGTGGCCTGATGGAGGGGCTTCAGAAGAAAGTCAGCCTTACAGGAGGCTGTTCTGGAGATGGTGATTTGTGGGTCATTGCGGATGCCGGTCTTGGGATGAACAGGGGTCCAGGAATGATTTCTCGAAGACATGGACGTTGATAAGAGGAAACTGGGAAAGATAATCCAAAGAATGCAGCATGAGATATAACAAGAGAGTAAGACAGGAGAACGGAGGGCATGGTCCCTGGGGTTTGGGGTGAATTTCGCTCTTGGGTTTTCTCTGAATGAAGGAGTGGCTACTGACCCTGCCACTCTCCCCACCTTACCCTTCTGTGTCCACATCAGTGTGAAGCCCCCAGAAGCCCCCAAGGAACTCGTCATCCCTTTGATCCAGAATGGCCATCGCAGGCAGTCACCAGCCCAGCCCCCTGTGCCATCCACGGATACTGGGGCTGTGGTGGATGGGGTGCTGTCCCAGGCCGTGAAGGAACTTATTGAGGGTGAGTGACCCCCTTTCACCCTGCCCCAGTGAAGGAAGAAGATGAGGAATGTGGAAGGATAGAGTGGGACCTCATTGCTCCCTCCTATTCTTCTCTTAGAATCCAAGAAGTCTCTGGAGGAGAGAGAGAATGCGGGTGTCGACCCCACGCTTGCTATCCCCATGATCCAGAAAGGATGCACCCCCAACAGGGAAGGGGCAGACAGCGAACCCCGGCCTGAGACAGTGAGCCGGACCCTTGCCCCCCCTCTTGCCCCAGCCTTTCTTTGCCCTCTCTACCAGGCTTGCCTCTCTGCACACAGCAGGAGGTGTGTGCTAGAGGCCTGCCACCCATCCCTTCCTCCTACAATCCTTTTTGGAACCATTAACAAATGAATCTGGATACTGGGATGTGAAGAAAGTACTTGAATCCTTGGGTTATCTGAATGAGATGGGCAGCAAAGAGAACAGGAAATGGAAAGGACTTGAAGGTAGACACTGCTTAAAGTGTTTGAGAAACACAAAGGAGACCATTGTGACTGGAATGGAATGAGCGAAGAGAGGAGTAATGATGAAGTCAGAAAGGAGAAGGGCTAGACCTGGCAGGGCCTTGTGGACCATGGTGAGGACTTTGGCTTTTACTGGGTTAGATGAGAGCTATGGGCAGGCCTTGAGCAGAGATAGGATATGACTTAGGCTTTGACTCAATCTCTCTGGCTTCTGAACAGAATGGACTAGTAAATGAAGGTGGAAACAAGGGGACCCATAGTCTAAGCTAGAGATGATGGGCACTCAGACCAGAGCGGTAGAAGTGAGGCCTGGAAGAATAAGTAGAATTTAGTGAGAGAGGGAAAAGCAGAATGAATACTCCCGATGGTGGCAACAACCCAGGCAGTGGCGCAGTGGCACAGTGGCAGGAAATCTGTGTGGCATGTGTCTGTCAGCGAGGCAACTTGTGGGGTGTCTGGAGCAAATGTAAAGGACTTGAGTGATGATGGGAAGTGATAAAAGGAGAGGTGAGAGATGTGTCCAGAGGTAACCGAGTCTGTCCTTTATACCTACAGACTCCACTTTTCACCTCTTCCTTAAGTTTTTTGCAATGCTTCTTTGGAGTCTAATTCTCCTACAGCCCCAAACCACCCTCTTTGACTGAACTGTTCTTCTCAGCCTTCAGATGTGCTCTGGTTTCCTTCACCTTAAAAGAAAAAAAGTGAGCCGGGCTCGGTGGCTCAGCCTGTAATCCCGCGCCTTTGGGAGGCTGAGGTGAGTGGATTGCCTGAGCCCGCGGGTTCGAGACCCGCCTGGGCAAC